CGGGGCGGGGCCCGGCCGGCCCGGGGAGGGCGGCAGAGACGGAGGAGCGGAGCGAGAGAGGTGCGGGCTGGAGGACGCCAGCTGCAGCTGCGGAAAAAATAATAAAAAGAGGACACTTCAGCCGGGTATCGGGAAGAAAACGGTTCACCGGGGCAATGCGGCACACTGAAAGCAAGCCCAGAGGGGGACAGCTCATAGGCTGGAGGGGACCGGCAGGTCCCATCTGCTAGGAGGGACGTGCCCCAAGCCTGCAAAACCGCCGGGGCAGTGGATGCAGACCCGCTGCTCACTAGACCCCACAGTGCGAGAGCCAGGGCCATGCAGCCAGCTGGGGCAAATTGGATAAGGCAAACAAATTTCACACAGTAAAAACGGTGGTACTTGGTGCCACAGGAGACTGGAGGCTGCTTGGATCAAGCGGGGCCAAAGGGTCTAGACCGACCTCTGAAAAAGCCTCCAAAAGAGGTATTGCAGGGAACAGGGGTGTCAGAGACTGCCCTAACCCAGTAGCACAGGTCCTGGGGGAGCACAGGGGGACAGGGCGCAAGGCACAGCCAGTCTCACACGCACTCTGGCAGCTTCCTCTCCTCCTGCCAGTGCTGCCAGGCCCTGCTGGGCTTGACAGGCGCTGTGCTGGCCTGGGAAGTCACTTCTTACACCCTGTCCCCAGGATAAGGAGTCTGTACGGCTTTGACTTTCTCTGCATGCAGCGATAGCTGATCCTTGATGACACAACTCACTTCCGTTGGTCTCAAGAAACACCTCGCTGAGTTTAGCCAACTTTACAGCTTTATCACCAACTTTAGCCAAGTTTAGTACCTGAGCAGCAAGAAGCAAAACTGCCCAGATGTCTGGCGGCCCATCCTTCCACTGACCTAAGTTCCCAAACTGTAGCACACGTGAAGATGATTACAGCGTGCAAACTCTACATATTTCCATAGCCAAAACCAGCTTCACCCAAATTCAGCCTGCACAGTGGGTGGCCATTAGACTGGATCAGCGATGATAGAATCTAGCTCCGCTAGGCGGAAGGGGAAAGTGTGAAGGCCATACTTGCAGTTGCATGAGGTCCTTCTCCTCTCTGAAGCCTGAGCGGCCTTCTCCTCCCCCTCGGCGGCAGCTGGAGGGAGAGGACCGAGTGTGACAAGGGTGGTATCAGGGCAGCACTGGCCTGTCTCTGTGTAGGCTGCCCTGGAAGCACCTTAAAACTCTCTTCTGGAGTTTATCAACTGGTTAGTACCAGCACGGCTGCAAAATAACCATGCTGCTCCCAGTGTTACCTTATACCCTGTCACCGTGCGGCACAGGCATACGCAACCACACAGGGAACTGAGCTGGTGAAAAATCAAAGTACTGGTTTTGTTGTCTATACCACAACCCCACATGGCTTCCAGACCCAGCCCACGCTGCGTAACTCACGGAGGGGAAGGTGGTTGTAGAACCAGCAGCAAAGGCAGTGCAGGAGGAGCGTGGGGGTGCCTGCCCTGCGGCCACCACAGATCTGCCTGCTCCGCGAGGGTCCCAGTCTGACAGGGGTCGAAGTGCCAGCTCCTGGCCCCGCACAGCCGCCTGTGCCACGGCAAGCCCGGAGAAATGCCCGGGGAGGGGCTCGGCAGGAGACCTGACAGGAGTAGCAGGTGACAGTAAGCCATCCGCACCGAACACGGGCGACACTGCCAGCTCGGCCTGGCGCTGGCAGCATTGCCGGGCACAGCACCTTCCGGTGGCAGTCCCCCCCAGCCCCTACCAGGAAGGCTCTGATACCCGCAGGAGCCCTTGGGAAGAGTTTGACGGGAGGCCGCGGTGCGGAGCGGGAGCGAGATCTCCCCGGTACGGGCAGCCGCCATCTCCCGCTCCTCTGAGGTGCCGCTCC